AACTCCTAACTAACCCTTACCCTAATTTTAATTAAATAATCAAAAACATATGAACGCACCGGGCTTTAGCCGTTCCCGAAAATCATCAACGGGGACATGTCCCGTGCCTGATATGCTAATGATGAAAATGCAAGAGCGTAACTCCGAAAGTTTGTAAATGTTTATGGACCTCTAGAGATGTTTCAAGTGTTAATACAAAAATTTGTCAATATGAGAGTAAAAAAAAATTATTTTTAAAAATTAATTTTGTGGTTATATGCATGATTATTATAGGTTATAAGACTAAGCATTAAGATTCAAAAAAAAAAAAAATATTGCTATATTACTTATTTTAATTACTCGGACATAAATACAAAAAAAAAAAAAAGATACAAATTATTTGATTTTAAAAAACTCTCCTTTTTACTCTAAAAGGTATTTCGATCGGTTGATTTAATGCAGCATATTTAACTTTGATAGGTTTATTATTAACTAATTCATAATCAAATTGATAAGCAAGCATGGCTGTTATAACTTTAGTTCCAATCATGGCTATTTTTCTTGCAGGGCAAATTCTGTGACCACCACCAAATAAAACAAAAGCTTTAAGATTATTAGAAGGAGAATTGTTAAGAAAACGATCAGGATCAAATTTTTCGGGATTATCCCAGTATTTTTTGTCATTATGAGTTCCCCAAGAATTCATAATAAAATGAGTGTTGGCAGGCCAATGATAACCAGCTACTTCATCAGGTGCATCATTAAAACGATCAAGAAGAGGTGTAGTTGAACTTATGCGAGCTGTTTCTTTTATTACAGCCTCAACATATTTAAACTTATCAACATCTTCCAACTTTATTGGACGAGGATCTTTTCCAAGAATAGCTTCCACTTCAGCGCGTATTTTAGTTACCACTTCTGGGTATTTAGCAAGAAAGTATGCTGTGAAAGCAATGATACCCGCAGTTGAATCAGTACCTCCTGCTATAGCTTCTGATATATTAACCATTGTTTCTTTTTCACTCATTGAACGTTGATACTTAGGACTTAAATCTTTTTTCTTACTAATATATTGTTCAGTATTAATTGTTAAAAATAAATTCATCATATCATTTTTTAATTGATCTTTTGGGGTATTTTCAATAACCTTCTTTCGTTCACGAATAGCATTATACAATATGTTCCAATATCTGTCTCTATTATCAACATAATCTTTGGCGATTTTATTAATAAAAGGAATATATTTTGCATATGCACCAATGAATAGATGAAAGATATAGCCTTCTCCATATCGAATCAAACAATCAATAAAATCTCTATCTTGATCAGGGATATCAGCTTTTTTGCCTGTTAAATCTGAATGATATTTAGCCATAGCATAGCCTTTTGTTCCTAGATATAAATCCAATGAATTATCAGCCGTATGACAATATATCCATTTTTTCAAATCAAATGTAATATTATTATCAGCTAAATCGTTCCAATAATTTATTGTTTCCTTTAAATATTTTTGAGCTTTCTCGAGAGTTTCTTGATGAAGGTTTGGAATTGAC